ATCACAACTCGCTATGCAAGAGCAAGTAAAAGGATAAGCATACAATGGAACATGTTTGTTGGTGTGACTAAACCACCGAACCCTTTTAACCATAGTTTATACTAACACCACTTTTTATTCAGCAATATTGTGACTACGTTCAACCTTTTGCCAACACAGCATCGACAAAGAGGTATGACACCATCTTTGATATTACTATACTCACAAAAATTTACAAGCATGTACACTTAGCCTAGAAAAACTCCTCCCATGTTATATGGGGAGGAACATAGACAGGAAACTGGCAGGAACAAGAGTACAGGGGAGAACTTTTTCTGCCTTCTAGACACAAAGTTTAAGATTTTGGAAATACTGGCCAAGAAGCTGGAATCCCACATAAGGATTCAGTGTCATCCTCTCTGTTGAAATAACAACTTTTTGTCTGGTCATTAACTGATTCTGTACCATGTCTCCATTTGGGAGCTCAGACCTCTAGCTGAGTACCTGCGGAATTTTTTAAACAGGCATAAACTTAATGAACAAGGGCTCCAAACAAGTGTTTATTCATTTTCAAAAATGAGGTAGAATAATGTTTACTCCTTTAGATACAAGTTTTTACTTTAACAAAAATTAAATTTCTAAGCTATTCCAGAATTAATAGTTTTATTTGAAAAAATAAAAGATGTGCTATTTCAAAACTGCAAATTATGCAGAAGAAATGAATTCCAGGTCATACACTTTCTCTGCAACTATTTTTCTTCCTCATCTTGGATCTGTTTCTACTTGCAACATTCTTCTGGCTTATTAAACGTTTATAATGGAGACAGAGATAAAAATGCCTATTACAAAGAGCAACAATTATCAACTGCTGTGAAAATAAACTGGCTTGTGTGTAACTTATGGAAAGCAACAGATGGGGATGCTGAAACAACGAACATGAGAGGTTTTGTTGCTCACTTTGCTTCTCCACCCCAAAGAATATAATCAACAGAAATTGCAAGCATTTCTCAAGTAGTATCTAACTGCACAAAGGAACTTGTCCTGGAAAAAAGACATGCATGAAATAATTATAAACCGCAGAGGCATATTTTAAAATGTTAAGCCAAAGTCTTGGAGTTCTAAACCTGTTTTTTGCACAATTTTACATTAATGAAGACCCTCCACATTCATTATGCTTCTTGATAGCATTTTGGTTGCCAATCCTGCTCAATCCCTTCCCTTTTTCTTAGTTCTCCTAAGAGGTAAGATCTTTTAAAAATGCAAGAATCCAACATTCCTGCAGTCAGCTAACAGGCAGACTTCAGGCACAGACAGAAAAATAAATTAAAGTGAGAGATGAAACATTGATTCAGTAGGTTCTCTTAAAACTACGAAAAACCTTTATTTCAGAAATACTGAAATACCCATCATCCATTGCTTCATTTGTTTAGAATTGCAATGACAAACAATACCATGATTTGCTTAAAAGAAAGACATTTCCTGTGGACCAAGTAAACCACCAACAGGTAAAGAAAAGAGAAACCTGAGAGTCAAAACGGAAAGAGCAGGTCATTCTATTGGTTTCTTTTTTAAACATGAACTACCTTTAATTAAAAAAGGATCAATTTACACAACTGACAGTGACAGAAGTACAGCCGTACTGACTTTAGGTACACTACTGTATGGGTTACTATGGGAAAGGAAGATTGTACTGTAGTCAAATACACAAATAGGCTCTGCCATTTTGTCTGCATAAAATTCTGAACATTAACAGAGAATAAGATGTAGTTTAGAGATCTTCATGGATAAAGCTTGCATTGCCTATTGATAACCGATTTATTTTTCGCTGACAGTACTGGGGCTCACAAAACAGAAGTTGAGATTCTCCAAGAAACAAATAGTTCTTGCACAGTAACTCTGAATTAGTGTTTCATGAAAAACACCACACACTTTGAGTTAGGTACCCAGCTCCCAAACTCCATACATGTAACAGGAACCTATTTTGTCCTGCTCAGCTCCTTATAAAAACTGCTGAGCTGAAGGCTAAGTGAATCTAAGCACATGCTCCCAAGCATTCACACAGTCAAAGAGAAAAAGTGGAAGACAATACACTTTCATATATTCTGGACTAAAACTACTGCAGAATACTATTAGACTAATTACCAATTGTATACGAAAATTAACGAGGATGAATTCTGCCATTTAAATAGCCGTGGAAAAAAAAAAAAAGAAAAATCACAATGATATATCCTAACACAACAGTTTGGAAGTAAACTTGTACCTGACAATGCTACACTTGGATGCCCTTATCGTGATTTCATCATTGATAAAACAATTTTCTCACACTCTGTAACTCCAGTCACTAAGGAAAAGCTCAGCCTGCATCCTACAAAGACTCAAAACTATGCCATCAAAACAGGCAGCAAGCAGATATGCTCACACTCCATCAAGGAACAAACAGAACACACAACATTGGTAGGATATATGTGGGCAGCTGAAGCAGCCAAACTTGACCTATTTCCATAAAATAGAATTTAGATGGTGTTTGCAAAAATAAAAAATTCCATAACCTGATTCATACACATAGTCACACCTAGGTAGATCCTGATACATCCGGATCAAGGCCACTGAAACATAAAAACAAGTGTAAAATTCTCCTTTTTCACTGGAAAAATCTGGATCCTTATACAGCTCAGTCCACAAAGATGTGAAAAAATTCTCACACACTGATGCTAGAAGTTAGCAGAACCTCCTCAACTACTTTCATCTAAATAGTATGGTATGAGAAAGAGATGGAGTGACCTGAAACATCCAAGTCTTGTCAGACACTAGCAATGGCAACACAGTAAATACTCGATAGGACCAGACAGCCTGCTTTTTAAAATCGCTACTCTAAGAACTTACCAGCTGAACAAAAGTTGTAGTTACTCCAATTCCACTGGAAAACATCATCTCACTTGAAATACCAGATTCAGCACCCAGAGCCTGTAGGAACCTAAAATTTTTTGGCTTCAAGTGCCTAAATTGTACTGTCAAAATAAACACCACATGTTGCTGCTCCCATTAAACAGAAAAATTCAGCCTTCAACACATCCTGGTGCAAAATAATGCAAGAACAAAAATCTGGGAGCGAGACCTTGCCAAATCCATCAGATCCTTGTTCACAAACATCTACATTCGATTGCACAGAAAAAAGTACTGAGCCACACTTAGATGACTAGGGAAATCTGCACCTTCTTAAATCCTGGCCCTAGAGACCTTGGAAAGGTTAAGCTTCATTTCTTAGATTTTCAAAGCTCTTTTTTTTTAACTAGACAGTTTTCCTGTACTTTTTTTGTCTCATGGATCAATCGATTCTGTAAAGGTAGAGGGGAGCAGCCGGAGAGAACGACTAAAGAAGATGTCACAGAGTAAGAAAAAGGTAACACTAAGGTAGCGATATCGGGACCATGCTGTAGCCTCACCTCCTGGATTCGCCTGCGGGCCCGCTGCAACACCTCCTCGTACCCCTTCTGTCGCAGCTCACTCAGGCTCTCGTAATACTCTTCGGGGTCGTCAGTCTCAGTGAAGAGTACCTGCGAAAGGATCTTCCAGCCGCAGGTATCGAAGCCGTGGACCAAGTAAACTTGCAGTTTGTAGCAGAGAGCGTCCATCTCCTGCTCGGATAGCTCCGGGGCTCCGAACAGCACCGTCCACATGCCCGAGGGCTCCTCGGGGAAGGCAGGCAGGTAGGGCTCCAGCTCCGAGTTCACCGAGCACAGCTGCTGGTGCACAGCCCGCAAGTCTTGGAAGGAGAACAGGCCGGCCCAGCTGCACTCCTC